GCTGGAGGAAATAGACAAACTTTGATTTCTTATCTATGAGCAGCAGGTGTTTCCACCCTGAGAATGGGCCGTTACCACTGAAGACACTTTTAACAAGGATAGTTTAGAATTAAACACAATCACAGGAGATACCATTATTTTCATTGCAGATCTGCTCTGGATCCAACCCTGTTGCAAACGTACTCTGTAGCCCATGGTAACACCTACAGTCTGCATAAGAGGGCTGTTATCAGCAGGCTTTAGGGATTGTTGAGGACACTAGAGATTTATTTGTGTACTTTAGAACCTAAAGCCTGCCCTTCAGCCAAAAAAAGTCTCCCAGGGAAGCTTACAGCATAGATAATGAGATAGCCCCTGCCTTCAGGCTCATCATCAGAATACTGTATAATGAATCACAGAAACAATAAGGGATGTGGAGGAAGGAGAGGGAGAAAGAAATTCAGCAGATCAGGAAACCTTAATACACATCAGAGAAAAATCCATAGATAGATCCCATTGCAGACTAAATGCTCAGCGGCCACCTGGCTGATGTTTGGAAGTTGTGGGAACACTGAGAACTAGGATGGAAAGAGGATGGAGTAGAAACATCTGCAATATTTTGTTACAGTGCACATCTCACTTGGTTGCATCTAAACCCTAGTGTCTGTTCCCTTTTCACATCCCTAGCAGATGCTGTTACAGCTGATGTTCCCTGCACACCAGCCAGAGCAATTTTGGTGCAGGAGTTTCCCACGCCCATCTCTCCTTACTTCTTCAAGAGTTGAGTCTCACACCCAGAATCAAGTGCAGTGTTTTGCAAAATTTTGGAACTGTGGTCTCTTTCTCAACCTAGTCTACCTGCTGGGCCACCCAGCCCTCTGGCAGCCATTTATCTGGCAGACAAGTGCAGAGAATCCTAAAGCAGATCTGCATGTATGCAATCTTCTGTATGCAATCTCCCTGTACAGGGAGCATAGAACCAATATCCACATAAAAGGGGGAATGCTATTCCAGGGCCTCTCAAACACACTCTCAAAACCAGGCAGCCACTAAATGTGAACCTTTATGGTGTAGTGGGTAGAGTGTGGACTACAGGCAGAGAGGCTTGGATGCAAATCCCAACTCAGCCATTAAGCTACTGCAACCCCCACCCAATCCTGTTACCATTTCTCAGTTTATTCCAGTTCAGAGGCTGTTCGGAATATGAAACAGGAGGAGAGATCCATATTTTTTTTTCTTATGCTCCTTGGGGAAAGTTCAGAATAGAGACCAGGGATTGATCTGTACCTTTCATGGTTAACAGAGTCATTTGGATGGCTGCTTTGCTGAATTCTGCCGCTGGTTAGAAAGTGAAAATGCTGCCTAGCTCTGCCTGCTGGATTCTCAAAATAAAGTGGGTTTCCCTCCTTCCTATTTCTGTCTCTTTCCAGTGCCTTGCAGAATCACACAGGGAGGAGGGAGGAGACATCCCTCAATTAAAAAATCCACACTGGGAGCATAGAGAAGTTAGGGTAAAGAACAGTCAATAGATCTGACTTTTATCAGATGGCCTACTTTCCAGAGTCGCACATCCCACGTACTGCTAGCCCATGACTATCAATGGAACAAGGCATGTGATATTATTTAAAAAAGAAGACAGCTTCTGCTATTGTTCTAGTTACAGTAGTGTTGAAGTTTTTTGGCAATGTTCGAAAGCATATGGTGAAATTGTTAGTATTTGTTTACACCCACTACTTGTAGCTTGTAGGAGCAACAGTTCTTGGCACAAAAATTAATGCCTTCTGTGCCCTCTACTCTGTTTCCCCCAACCCCCACCCCACCCCCAAACATAATTTCTCTGCTCTGTTTAGCTGAGTGAGAGTGCCCTGGGCACAACAAGGGAGCTCTTTTCCATGGGGCCCTGTGCCAGGGGGAGGTCTTATGGCAACAGAACCAGAGAGGGAGTGCCAGGCATGGAGTCGGGTCTGAACGGTTGCAAGGGAATAGTGGCTGGCACAAAGAGAAGGGATGTCTCACAGTTCTGAAAAGTTGAGGGTTTCTACTTATTTTACATCTTATACTTCCATACATAGTGCTCATTGTCTTTCAGTGCCATCTTCAGTTCAGCCACAAGCTCTTCTACATTCAATTAGGAACAAAATCACTGCTCCCTCCTATATATTCCATAATGTTTTTTTTAAAGTTGCTAAACAGATTTTAAAATAAAGATTTAACCCATAACAATCACATTTAGTCATTATACGTACAACTTAAAAGCAACACCATGTCCATGAAACATTTTTTCCTGGGATCAGTATATAAGTCACAGAAAAATAAGCAGTGGATAATGGAGCTTCTATTTGTGGCACCCCCAAATATGCAAAGGCATTGAAATGATACTTTCACCCATGGTCTGGATGAGGTTCAAAACCTCACCCAGACCATTAAATACACTGGATGATTTTGGACCAGTCACAGTCTATCAGCCTAACCTACCTTACAGAGTTGTTGTGAGGATAAAGGAGGGGGAGAAGGAGAGTGACGTTGAGCTCATTAGAGGAAATAATAATAAGTCAGTTCTTTTCAGGGTTTTCCAGGTGGATAGTACTCAGAAGTAGTTTACCATTCCTTTCTTCTGGGTGCATCCTGGGACTGTTCAGTCCACCTAAGGCTACACAGGCTGGCTTTTCTGCAAAGCATAGTGGGGAACTAACTCCCAACCTCTGGCTCCACTTATTGAACTATTCAAGCAGCACATTAGAGGAAAAGCAGGATATAAATGTAACAAATGTATAAATATGTGGGCACATTATGAAGGGTTCAAATATGAAGGCTAGTCTGGAATTATGATTCCATAAATGTCTTCCTCATCTCAAAATCAGACAAGGAGGATTATGACTCGCCCCCCCCCGGCATTGTTTTACATGCCTTAAAAAGCTATCCAACAGGCAGAAATTCAACAGGTACCAGGACTTAATGGAAATATGATCATGATGGAGGAAACGCTATCTGTTTAACATATCCCCTACCACACAGCTATCAAACACCTAGCTATTCTGCCAGAGACAAAGGTGGCAAATTAGGCACCAGTCACACAGATAAATAAGCATATATTTGTCGAGCTAATCTTTAACGTTTACTCCTGATCTCCACTGATGAAATTAGCAATTTGTGCTTTTCACCCAAATACAGAGACCTTAGGGATACTACACTACAGTGTTTTCTGTTCTCTTTAAAATGTTATTCAGTTGTAATAAATGTTATTTGTCTGAAGGAGGCAACTCAGTCTGGATGCAGCCTTTCTAAACGACATGCCCAAACATGTTCTGTATGAGAACACTTAGGTTCAAAATTTCCCTATCTTGGCACTTTTACTATGAATGCTCAAAGGCTAAACTTCTTCCCTTTTTTGTTCTCAAGCACAAATTTTCTGAAATTATTGTGTGGGGGGGGGAAGAAAGAAAAGATTTCCCTCAGGTTCTGTAGTAGAGAGGATAATAAAATCTTTAAGCATGTGGCAATGTTCGTTATATTATGAAACAGTCAGATATCTGTCTAAATAATAATTCTGCTGCTTCTCTCACCCCAGGCCTTTTTGGACAACTGAAATGTTCTTCAGGGCTAAGATTCCTTACTGCCGCCACCTAAAGAGTCCTTATAAAAAAGAAAAGGCAAGATTCATAACATAGTAGTCATATGTTACACTAGAGAGTAAGTGACATATGTTGTAGCAGGCATGGGCAAATATTGCCCTTTGGGTGTTTTGGGCCTATAACTTCTGTCATTTTTAAATGGCACAACCAACAGCAGGCGATTATGGGATTTGCAACACAAAAACCAACAGAAAACCACAGTTGCTCCCAGAGATATGGACTCGAGATTCGGGACTTGCTATGAAGTCAGACTTAAGCTGCACTGGTGACTAGACTTGGACTCGACTTGTTCCACCACCACCACCCCCATGTCTCGGACTTGACTCGTGACTTGAAACCCACCCACCACTCCCTCTTTTTTGTGGGGGTGGTGGGAAAGCTTGTTTTCAATAGGGATTTGAACTTGGGACTTGGTACCAAAGAGTTGGACTTCGACTTGTAGTGACTGAATTTCCAAAGTGAGACAAGGGCCCAGCTGTGTGACAAGCCAAAACATCAACAGTGGCATCTCTCTTGTTTATAGTTGCAGTGATGAAGGCTTTGACTGGTAAATTTCTGACTAAGACATAGCCGTTTGAGGCCAGAGCTTGGAAAAGTTACTTTTTTAGATGACACCTTTCAGAATCCTCCAGAATTCTGTCAATTAAATTTCAGTAGGCCCATTGTGAATTCTCACTGGAGGATTCTGCAAGTTTTATTCTGGAAAGTAAAATTTCTAAGTCCTCTTCAAGGAAGTAGAGCCAGGCGAGTAACTTGTGGCTCTCTCTATGTTGCTGGCCAGCAACTTCAAGCAGCCTTCTCGATTAAAGCCAGCAGTGTCGGCTGACTGGAGTGGTATCTGGAGGGCTGCAAGTTGCAGGCCCCAGAGTTAATCCCCTTGATGAGGCTGATGGATACATGTAGAATTTTGTTTTAAATCAGGGATGGGAAACCAGTGGCCTTCCAGATGTTGGACTGTAACTGCCATCAGCTGTGTCTAGCATAGCTAGTTAGGGTTGCCCCATCTTTCTGTCAGAGCTCCTCACTTAACTCAACAGCTAAGTTGTGTGTTTGTGTGTCACAGACAAAAAGAAGAAAGAAATCTTGCCTCTTTACCAGGGATAAACTATTAAAAATGTTGTACTACATGGATATTAAACCTAGGATCATTGGCTAGTGAATGCAGAACATACAGAGGACTGGCAATGGCTTCAGAAAAGCATGAATGCCAACAGTTTTGACCAGACTTGTTGCTCGTGGCAGTTTATCATGCATGGGATTCCCTCTTGTAGGAATAAGGATTTCTGGCATCATCATGTGGGTATTTTAAAATATATGGGAAGAGGTTGTTTGGCACTAAAAATCAGTCTGCAGAGACTTGACATCTCTTTTAAGAAAATTGCAGCGTACCTCCAGGCTCCACACCTTTCTCCAACAGGTGCCACTTCCCTTCTTCCTAGGATCTATCCCTTTGTAGTTTTTCAGCCTGAGTAGACCTGGCAGTCCTACTGGCACAATCTGAGAAGAGAGGAGTGGAAAACCAGGTTTGGTTACATCTAATTCATTCTGTCAGTGAAGAACATGGATGGCTTCAACAGTTTTTAAAGCATATGAATCCAGTTTTCAATTTAATTGAGAAATATAGAGAAATCAATCAATAACAATGTAGTGAACAGCTGTGACAACCAGGCCTTATACAGGAAGGAAAGAAACAGGTGGAGTGACACAGCCGTTTCGGAACTGTTTTGGGGTGTCATTAATGGACAATCAATTGTTACCTGACATTGCTGAATCTTTTCTGGCAGGAAAGGGGAAAGGTGCCCTTCAGAAGGGCCTGGTTTTGTTTTGTGTCGCAGGTGCCAAAACCAACTCTGGTGGCTTTGGGAATTACACCTATTGACGATGGGGGGAGCGATGTCACTTGGTTCTCCGCCTCAGGGAGCAAAATGTCTTGGCTTCTCCCAGAGAGGAGATCCAAATGGCATTGGTACCTGAGCTTCCACCAAGCCTGTTAGCTTACTGTAGTCACTGAGGGAGACTTCTTTTCTGGTTTGGGTGAAGTGAAACTTCTTTAAAGCAGGGGCATTTTTGCAAAGGAGCTGGAACCTTTGAATCCAAGAGGCCACTGGTCAGATGCAGACTGCCTCATCCCGGTTTCTGCTTGCTGCTCTACCTGCTACTTACCTGTCTACTTTCTAAATCGTTCTAAAAGAAACAGAAACCCTACAGGGGCTGGGGAGGATGCTAAAATGCTGGCGCGTGAGCCCAGCAGTCATCCTGGAAGTGATGTTTATATGCATGAGCGAGAATACCTTAAAGGCTGCGATACAATTTTTTTAAAAAAATCATTTGAGCCCCTTCTCGGACTATCTTTGTTACCTGAAAGTGTTGCCAATGCTGGTCGGAAATTTTTCAAAAAAAATATTTTGACGTCTCTTTTTCTACAGAGGGTCGAGGTATGGTTTTCTGGGGGCCGGCGTCGCCGCTTTTCGCGCGGCTGGAGGTCAGCGCTGGTATAATAAAACCCTTGCGGGCGGAGTCTGGCTCTTTCCCGGGACAAGGGAGGGGTGGGTGGCTGGGAGAGAGACGCTCTAGTCTAGGTAGTCCTTTTGCGGCCGGGACGCGGTTCTTTGGAAATTCCTCGGAGGGGGGGGGAAGGGAGCGAGGGAAGCCCCGCCCCTCAGGGCAGGGGCGGGGCCGGCCTCTCTCTCTCTCTCGCAGGCTTTATGTACTCCGACGAAAGCAAGTGCGGAGCTCAGAGCTGCCGACCGGAGGGCGCGTCGGGTGCAGCGGCCAGCGGGAAGGTGCCGAGCGAGGGAGGTGAGCGCTCTTTCTTCCTGTCCCCCCTCCTTCCCTCAGCTGTTCCGTAGGCGGTGGCGGCGCTGCCCCCGCTGCTGGGGACAGGATGCCCCGTCCCGTCACAGCTACAGAGCAACGCTAGGGTCCGGCGCGACTCCTCGCGAACGCCGCTTCCCCGACGCGACTGGAGGCGCTTTCTTCGGATGGCCCCCCAAGGAAGCAGGTGGCATCGGCGTCTCCCTTTGGATGCGGTCCGTGCCACCCCCCCTCCGCCCCTTCTCTCGCCCTTCCTTGGGATCCGCTGCCTCATCCTTTGGGGAGTTCAGGTGCGCGGGGCAGAAAGCATCTCCTCCTTGGGCTCAGCGCTCGCGGCTCCTCCGGATTACCTTGCTTCACTTCTCAGATATATACTAGTATTACGGGCAGGGGCAGGGGCGGAGGAGGTATATATAGGAGTGCACCGATCCTGAGGCGCGTCGGCCTGGCGAGACCCCTGCCGCCCCAACTTCTGATCCTGAAATCTAGTTAGGATCTAGCCAGAGGGAGGTGGGCCTCTCCCTCACTTCCACCTGTTCTTCCCCCAGCCCATCTCAAACAGTCCGAAATCTGGACGGCTCACTTTCCTGTGGGTTATCCGCTGAAAGGATGAGGCGACCAGGGGGTGGTCTGGGCAAGTGTTAAAAACCTCGCGTTTCCTTCTAGGAAGGCTTTCGGTGGCGGGCTTTTCTCTAAAGCGGTTAAATGTCTCAGAGACGGCTGGGCATCCCCTCCCTCGGCAAAGGGTGGCAGCTCCTCCGTGTAGAAAAACAATAATGACTAGTAGCCGAAAAGAGTTGGGTTACTTGCTCAGAATAGGGTGGGTGGGGTTTCGAGGGGGGTGTACTTGTCATCTAATTTCCGACGGTGAGTGGGGTGTGCGTGTGCGTCAGAATGTAGAAACCGAGCGCTGATGGAGAAGGAGGAAGGGTCAGGGTGATGCGCGCCAGTTGGCACGTATCTCGAAACTCGGGCAAGTGGTGACGGTGCTGGGCTCGTAATTATGGTGGGGACGGTCTTCGGAAGGAAAACGGAGTGGCTGGTCCTGTTATTAAGAAAGGAGATTCTTCTCTCCCCCCCCCCCACTTTTGATGACGAGTAATTTGCTTGCGCCCCTTTCCTGGACGGCGTGTGGAAGGGGAGAAGTGATGCTTCCAGGGGAGAAGAAGCGCGGCTCCGTCCTTTGCCAAGGCTCGGGGATCCAGCCCGCAACTACAGGGGGTGCTGTCGAGTCGGTAGCCGGACGGTGACTCGGCAAGGCAGAGAGGGAGCCTGTCGGGACATGCCCTGCCGCGGCGGGGGAAGTGGGGAGAGAGGGAGGGGAAGGAGGCGGCGGCGGCGGCGATGATTGCTAGGCGGGAGGGGGAAGCGAGGCGGCGGCGGCAGCAGCAGCAGCAGCCTGTGACTCAGTGCCACAGTGACTCTTTCGGGCTGATGTAAGAGGCCCGGCCCGGCTCTGACTGTTCCCGGGGCATTTCGGAGAACCGCCTTTGGCGGGCAGATTATCCTGTTTGAAGAAAGGCAGCGGCGATCTACGTCCTGGGCTTCTCAACGCTTGCCCCTGCCTTCGTGATCTCGGTGGCTGAAGCGGGGAAGAGGCAGGCAGGCAGGCAGGCGCGGACAGACAGACAGACAGACAGACCGACCGACCGACGGCCCCGTTGCGCGCGCTGGGTGGAACTTGAAAGACGCACGAGTTCCTTTGACTCTCCGCCCAGCCCGCCGATGTTCCCTTCTCGGCTGGGAACTCCTTGTTCCCGACCCGACTTTTATTGTTGTTGTTGTTCTGCTGCTTTGCACTCCTGGCCGGGGAGTCAGCCCGACGTTGACGCTCCGTTGAGAGGCGCGCGCAAAGTCTACGGCGGCGAGAAGCCCTTCGCAGCTCGCTTCCTCCCCTTTGGGTTTGGGGCTCAAACATGTTAAAAATATGGGTGTATTTTTTTTAAGGGTGGGTTCTTGGAGGCGCGTGCACCCAGCCCTTAGCAACGTGCCAAGCCCCAATAGCTGTGTAGGCAAACATTAGGGCTTGGCACGTTGCTAAGGGCTGGGTGCACGCGCCTCCAAGAACCCACCCTTAAAAAAAATACACCCATATTTTTAACATGTTTGAGCCCCAAACCCAAAGGGGATGATTGGTCTTGTTTGCCTACTGCCCCTTCTCGATTCCTCACTTTTCCTCTCTCTCTCTCTCTCAGTCTCTCTCTCTCTCTCTCTCGCTCTGTGTGTGTGTGTGTGTGTGTCGGGGAATCATTTGAAATCCAGCTCGCATCAGAAGGTCTCGACCGTCGGTTGTGCGCGTCTGTGTTTGGAAAGGGCGGCGAGGCGGAGCCGTAGTAAGCTTTCCGGCTTGCTTCCCGGCCTCGGGCAGAAATAGGTCTGTGTGGCAAGGGAGGTTTCGCAACTTCCAACGCGGCACGTGATGCTGGGGCTGTGGTGCCAGATGACGTCATCCCGGGGTGAGCGCCGCTCGCTCGCACACCTCCTCCGGGGACGATAAGCAAGTCCCTCTGTTTGCTTTGTGCCGCCGATGTGGGCTGAAGGGAGCTCACGCCCTCGGCTCTGTCTCTAGGGGAGCACTGGGCAATCGGCTGACTTCCAGAGGAGAAACACCGAGGCCGTCAAGCAGGGCAGAATCTCGGCAGCAATTGGTTGCAACGGCTGGAAGCAGCTGGGTTTGGTGTGGTTTCCCCCCCCCTCGAACCCCGTAAAGCTGTTGTTGTAACAGTAGCGACCTATGTTGTGATTGGTCAGCTGTTGCAAACATCAGCTAAAAGGTGTTTGTGGAGTAAATAAGAGACTGTCAAAAGTTGTGTTGCACTTTGGATGGTTGCTTGCACTCCTGCTGCAGAAGGTGGAGTTCGTGTTTTGCATAGAGAAGGTCCCCGCTCCGCAGGGTGGCAGTGGTGCCCGGGCTCACGGGGTTCAGCGTTGGGGCCCTCCTAGTTATCCAGATGAGTTCATCATCTGCTACTCACCTTGAGTTTTACTTCCGTCTCTGTCCTTATCTACAGCTGTTGCACTGCTGAACGTGTGTGTGTGTGTGCGCGCGCATCCCCGCGCGCATCCGTGTGCATGACCGCCGGATATAGATTTTCTCAGCAGCAGTACCTTATTCCTGGCTTTGCAAAAAAAAAAAAGCAAGCTGCTCTTGGTTGAGGTAAAAACAGATAGAAGAGATCTGTAGATGGCTGTGACATAACTCTTTGAATTTGTGGGCTTTCCTGAGGGGTGTGGCTATGGAGACTGTAATGATTAGTGCTTCCCCTTCAAAATATACCAGCGCAGCTACTTCTAAGACTGCATTCTGAAGCCATACCAGAGAACTAGTGCTAGTTAGTCACGTCAGCAATACCAAAATCCATATATAAGAACTTTGGGTATTCAATACAGCTTGGCTTCCTTTCTTCCACGGTGAGAGAAATGAACACTGTTTGCTTGACGAAAAGGTGGGGCTACATTTTTGTACTGCGTTGTGTCCTCAGTTATACACCTCTGTTTGACTCTGCTGTTATCAGAGGAGGAGAATGTCACTCAGAACTTAAATGTGACCAAGATTTGTGGAATGGGGCAACAGTAAGAACAGGAGGTGCTTGGCAGGCATCCTGCTCCAGTGGCTTGAGGTGGTGACTTAAGAAGATAGCGAGTTGAGGCCTGTCCTTGGCAGGAATGCTACCTGCCAGAACTTGTTCTGTTATGCCTAAAACTCCTGGTGAGGTCATCTGGCATAGTTGTTTATAAAGAGAGCGTGAAAACTGCTGCTATTTTTAATCTCTTGGCCTCTCCCCACAGCCTGAACACTGAGAAAAGTCACCATTGTAAGATGTGTTGGGCAACTTAGATGACTGTGGTCTGAGAAAGTACAGTGGCCCCGACAAAATGAGGGTGGTGTTGGTGTTGGAGAAATAGAAAAAATAATGTTGAAACAAAATGGAAAGGTGGACATGCAGTTTGGTTAAACACCTTGGTGACCCCAGACCTTCTGTACATGGATGAGTGTATTCACAATGGATATTTAAGAGGACTTTACACTTGTCCATAATATGACTATATGCACTGATTAGAGGAGTTACCCAGCATTGGCAGGACTCAGAATTAAAATGGGTAACAGTTTGGGACAGACTTGCACTGAGGGAAGAGTTAACTCATGCTCTCTGTGCTGAGTTTGTACTCACCGTGTCTATGGTGTGGATGGTATGGTCTGGATGGGGGATGGCAAGGAGGAGATGACAAGTAATTGAAACATTGGCTTCTTGTGAATTAAGGGACTCAGATGGAATACAACAACAGAGTCAAACCCAGCTGTGGGAACCTATCACTGTGTGTGTCAGCGCCTTTGCTGCCTGTGGGTATCTACACCTGCTAGAAAATGGTTAATCTGCATGGTGTATGCACAGCAAGTAGAGTTTGCACTATACAAAAATACCTGTGTAGTGTCATCTTCCCAACAGAAATTCGGCTAGCACCCTCGCTGGGTGTTTTTAAAAGCCAGTTAAAAACTTGGTTATTCAAGAAGGCCTTCTCTCCACTCAATTAAGTCTTTCTCTCTTTTTTTTCTTTGCTATTCCATCTTGGTAATCCTCTCTTTAAATTAATTGTTTTAAATTGAAATTGTAGTTGTAATTTTATGATTTTATATATTTTTATACTGTTTTGTTTTATTTTGTAAGCCGCCCCGAGTAGACATGGTCTAGAGGGGCGGGGTAAAAATCAATCAAACAAACAAACAAATAAATAAATAAATAAATAAATAAATAAATCTTGTGTATGTTTACCCAGGAATGAGTCCTGGGAACGGACTTATTCTTGGGTAAACATTTTTGGTTTATGGATTACTTGTGCAACTATGTACAGTGGTGCCTCGCTTAACGAGTGCACCGTATAGCGATGTTTCCGTATAGCGATCCCTTTTTCGGGATCGCTATACGGAAACATACCCGATCTTCGCAATGGGGAAAACCCGCATTGCGAAGATCGGGTATTGCGGCGGCCATTTTGGAGCTGCCGAACGCCGGAAGCCCGGAAATGGCTGCCGGCAGCCGTTTTCGCGCCCTGCCCTCGCTTAGCGAAGGCGCGAAAATGGCTGCGGGCACCTGGAATCCTCGCTGAATGGGTAAGTAACAAAGGTATTGGAACGCATTAAACGAAGTTTCATGTGTTCCAATACATTTCCCCTACCCGTTTAGCGATGATTCCGTACAGCGAGGGGTAATCCGGAACGGATTAACCTCGCTATACGGGGCACCACTGTAGTTCTAAAAACTTATTCTTGGTTGTACTTGCTGCTTTGGTGTAAACACTTCTCCAGCAGGTACATTTCAAGTGTCCACACATCACACAACCCTTCTACTCCTTCAGTCTATCAGGACCATCCTCTTACCTACTCCTGTATTTATTATTCATTTTATTTCAAATATTTTTACCTTGTCTTTCTCCATAAAATCACCCAAGATGGCTTTTGCCTCTTCCTGCTGTGTCTAGCAAGTAAAATAGCCCTGAACTGATAAGACACTGTAAGCATTTGAATTAATGCTGCATCAGTTTAGTGCTATAGCTAAACTATGAGATTTTTTAAAAATCATTGTTTACAAATTGAATTGCACTTTTAGCCCTTAGCAGTGAGAACAGAAGGCAGACAGATGGAGCCAGGTTCACTCTCACGCCATGCCCCGCTCTGTGAATCATCAATGATATGGTGTGGACACTCTCAACAATGGTCCTAATGGCCCATACACGGTGATAACACAAGCCAAAATAAAGACAAAATAATGCAAGCAGAAAAATACAAGCACTGCTAGCTAAACAGTATGCACTGCATACTCATGCCAAAAGGTTGCATCCACTTGTAGGGAGCCCTAATATTGTGTAATCCAGGGGTCTCCAGACTTTTCAGAGTGAGGCCCACAACACATATGTTCCAGATTTTTGAGGGCTGAAGGAAGACGCGCACGTATGCCTGCCTGCCTGCCCACCCACCTGGATAAAAAGGCAAAGCAGGCGGGATGTGGCCTGCAGGCCATTGTTTGGAGACGCCTGGTGTAGTCTGTGGAACAAATATTGAAAGGAACAGTAAGAAACACCGTTGAGTTGGTCTCCAAGTCTCTTTAGTGAATCTTAATATGTATCCAAGTGTGGGTGTAGAAATTAGATTTGTTTAGTATGTAAAGTTTTTTTTTGCAGTGAGTGTGTTCTCACAAGCAGCATAGACTCTGATACGGTACAGCTTGTAGCATACTATGTGGAGGGTTCTCTCAGCTCTCTGATGTGGAGAATTCTGTTCCACATCAGGCCATCCCTTTAATGCAAACATGGTAACCCTTTCTACCTAGTTAACTGTGTACAGTCGTCTGATGAAGGAGTGCATGAAAAAAAAATTACCCAGGAGGGGAAAAAAAAGACTAAAACTTCAGCATAAGTGACAAAGTCCTGCAAGTCCTTTAATTCTTCAGTGTTTCATTGCTTGCAGCTGTCTTCTGTTTTGAAAGCTGCTGTTCACAGGGAAGGAAGGGTGATGGCTGGTGTGTATAGGGCAAAGAGCACCTTTTTTTAGTGGTGATGTCATTTGCTCAGAAGAATTTTTAGCTGCTGCCGGTGTCACTTGAATGATGATACTTAATTCCTGGAATGAATTCGTGGCCATATAGATCCCATAGGTAATGGCTGCTCGTTGTGTGCAGTTAAGTTATTTAAAGCTGGTGTGGTGAACATTTGGATTTCCTGTTGATGAATTACTGCTCCCATTATCCACCACCATTGGTTAATGGTAGAGCAGATGGGGTTAAACAAAAACTGGAGAGCCTTAGCAGGTTTTTCACACCTGTTTTAAAGATAACAGCTATATCAGACTTTAAAGGTGGGCATGGGAAATGTGTGGCTCTGCACATGTTGTTGAACTGCAGCTGCCATCTTCCCTCACTCTTGCCTGTGTTGACTAGGATTGTTGGAATTGCAAATGTGAGAGCCCTACATAGTTCTTACCATGCTTTGATGCCCGTTCTGGGATATCTAGAGAGTGGATATTTCCCACATGTACTACAGTGCCTGTTCTATAATGGCATCCTGGCTGTGGCATGCCCTCCACCTCAAAGTTCATGTTGCCCAGGATGGGGGGGGGTCCTTCAACCCTCCAGGTCTTGATGAACCCCTACTCGCATTGCACCACCCTCAACACAGGTAAGATTGGCTGGAGCTCATGGGGAAAAGAGTTCAGGAGGGCTACAGGTTTCCTAGCACTGATCTCGCCTCTGTGCTGAAGGCCTTGCATTGGGAAATCAAGATCATGCTGTTTTGTGAGGTTTTTCCAACTTCCCAACACTCTTCCAAAACATTATAGCTCAGTTGTTAGCTGCCTTAGAGTGAAAGATGACCTAGAAAGATGAAAACTGTTCTTTGTTTTCCTCCTAGCTGCAAACATGCCTCTGTCTGGGAGCAACATCCGGCAACCTTCCTGCAGTAGGAAGCTGTGCAGAAACCTCTTTGGACCAGTGGATCATGAACAGCTCCAGAAGGACTTCCAGTCCTTAATGAGGGTTCAGCTGGAAGAGGCCCAGCAAAAGTGGAATTTTGACTTTGAAACAGAAACCCCACTTGAAGGGAACTACAAATGGGAGAAGGTCTCCCATCTCAACCTGCTCCAGTCTCAGGACCTGCTGAGCCCCACAAAGGAGAACAGTTGCGCTGGTGAAAAGAGATCGTCCCCTGTACACCTGAAGAAGCTTGCAAAGACAGAGAGTCCGGTGCAGGTGGGCCTTGAGGCTTGCAAGACTGGTTCCCCAAGGAGCCTGAAACGAAAGCAGACAAGTATGAAAGGTACAGATAGGCTGGCTTTGTTTGTGCAAGAAGCAAGATGTTGCTAATGACCACGGCTAGAGCTGGAATGGGATTTCCTCAGACTGAAATTCCATCCCCGCTCCCCCTTTCCAGCACTTGAACCTCTGAACTGGATATGAAAAACTGGTCACTTTGTTTTGGCATCCATTTAAAATATTGTGAAATTTGACTGTGGAAGATGTTAAATACAGCTGCGTGTCGGCTGATAAATACTAAGTGGGAACGCATGACATGTTAAATGTAGATTATTTGGAGGATGTAAAACACAATATTGGCTAAAATCCTCTTGTTCACATATGCTGGTTTAAGTGCAGTGTAAATCACAACAGCACATTGCTGCTAGTTGAAGAGTCATTGCTTATATTTCACTTTTTGACTCAAGCAGCATTGGCACACAATGAAGAGTACCAGTGGTGATTCCTGAACTGGTAGCAATATGGTGCTGCAATTTCATCTATTGGAAGTATGCTGGCTTATTTAAGGAATAGCATTCTGGCCATGGATCCATAAAAGAGAATGGGAGACTAATAGTTGATTTCTTGGTATGCTAGATCCGTGTATGGCATAAGAATATGCCATTCTGATAAAAAAAGATCCTTACATGCTTCACGGTAGCAGCTAAGATGATAGGGTATTTACCACCTAAATAGTGTGCTTGGGTGCAGGAATGAGATGGCCACGTGGGAGTGAAGGAAATAAATCTGTGAGTGACTAAAAGTGCAGAACATCTAGAATCTTGGGAGTAAGCATGCAAAAGTTTGCGCTGTTAAGATGTAGGGTTGGGAATTTCAGGTCCACAACAAATGCTTGTTATATCTATGTTCTGTGCTGTATAGATGCTATCCAGTATCCTGCATATATTCTATATGTGTTTGTTAGCTCCTAGAATACGAGCTGGTGGGTTATCTGAGTGGCTGGGGAAGAAAGGGAACATTTCTTATATCGGGCGAGGCTCCTCTTAGCCATACATGAACACTTTCTGGGATTTGCCCCCTCCCCACCCCCACCCCCACCGTGTTCCAAGCAGCAGACTCAGTTTGCCTTTCTCCTCTTTTCCAGATTTCTACAGCTCAAAGAGGAGAACTGTCCCATATAAGTCCAAGCCATGATAACTATGCGGCGAGCAAGATGCATCCATGTGGTCTCTTGGCTGAAGGTGCTGAGCTGTCTTCACTGCTGTTTTCTGGAACGAGGCATATTTGGACGTAATCTCCAGTGAAGTCACCAGGATGTCTGTTTCAAGGAGCACCTGTTCAGAGTTAGCAGCCCTACTCTGAAGACTCTCACAATCCTCTTAGATTACATGAACTGTTTAGCGGACTAGTGTAACACTTTGGAAGGATGTAGAATTCTTTTCTTACTTTTCATATAGCACTGGAGCTTGATGTGCAATTGGATATTGTAAAGCCTTATCATAAAACAGAGTGCAAAGTTGATGTGGGAGGGGAGAGACATTATTTAAAGGACAGTGTGATGCATGTAGAACAGGAGCCATGTAAATTCTGCTTGTGACTGAGTTTCTGTCTTGCTCTCCAGCCATTCCCACCATTCATATACCTGCCCCAGGTAGAAGCTTGTTTGCGGTATGAATCACTTTGAAAGGTGCAATGCCTGTGGTAGCAATATTTTAGAGGATAACTCTTTCCCAGATCGTATTGTGTTTTCTTGCTCTCCAAAGGTTGAAGGAAAAGACTGAGGAGCCAATTCCTTTTCTAAAGATTAAAAAAAGCTTGTTATTACAGCAGGCAGAAGATGTTTGTGTAGTCAGAGCATCACAGATCAATACATTTTATTGCTGTGGCTGTGAGGGGGGTGGCACTTTACCAACCAACCCTGGAGAGCATGTGAAGCTTGATGTGGTCCCTTTCTTAGTCAACTACCCTAAAATATTAAGCCAGATCACATAGGAGACACTAGCCTGGGGAAAACATAATTTATTAGCATCTACAATGTAGCATAGCACAGGCATGCTAGCATAGTTTTACAAACACAGTCACTCAACCTTACTTCCGTACTTCAAAGCCCCCAGCACAGAATTATGGTAGACGAATGGGGAAGGAGAATAATGCAGGGTTTGGTTGACTGTGAATGCTAGCCAAGGTTGATGGGACATGCTCTTTGGCTGTCCATTCCTTAACTTCGCTGAGGCATAGAGTACTGGTAATGTACATTGTTTGACTCCTCCTTGCTTTTCCTGAGGTTGTGTGGCTGCCCCTCTTTGCCAGCAGTCCTCAAAGGATGATGCATTTTGGGGCTGGAAGTTATACTGCTGAACACTATAGCTGTAATTAGTGTGAGATGATCCAGCTGACAAGTTTTCTACTCCAAATTTGGCACTAATGCTTCAATGGCTGCAGGTGTATTTCTGTCAAGAACCTGCCTACTTGAGACTTGGTGCAGTGTTCTGAAGTGACAGCCTGCACTACTTGTGGTCTCTGGAAAACAAATCTTTGCTTCTCTCATTCTACTCACAGCCCTGGGCTCTTCTGCTGTCCAAATGCTGTTAACTTTGACGTGTGCAATCTTATCCCTTTTGGGGAGAAGGTGAGGAGACAGAGGGAGGGTCTTGGTGGGCCAGGTATTGTGTAAGCCTGGGATAAGGAAATGGGCTGGCTGAATGATAAAGCAGTGGAAATTGGGAGACTATCAGCCATATACTTTAATGAAACCCGAAAGATTGCACACTAGCCACAGATGAGCCACACAGCCTCAGTTTATTAACCATGAAGGACATGTTTGCATGGTTTTGACTTGAGTGGCATTGCAAGAAGTGCACTTAACAGACAGAAAAGGCCAAGATTTTTTTGCGGATGGATATTGAATGCATACCTAGAAGAGCGTGGTATAAGAGCCATTCTTCAGGCATTTTCTGAATCTAGTAAAGTTGCCTATGGCCTTTTGTCTTTTTTTTTCATGCACAGGGCAGGCTGCTTTGACCATTGCACTTTGTCATATAGGGGAACAGTAGGTCTCTTTTTGAGCACTAATCGGTTTGTTTGTGACTATGATGCTACTGAATTTACTGACTAAGCCTAGGACTTAAAATAAAGCCACTTCATAATGGAGCAAAATTTGTTCTGGTGTAAACTTTATGTGATCTATGTGTTTGGACTGAACAAGCCTGGATGCTACAAGCAGTGTGATCTCTCATCCCAGTAACGGTTCCTAAAAAATTGAGCTGTTTTTTTTGGGGGGGTTAGGGGGATTGAGAAGAGATTAAGGGACAAGATGAGGCCACATTATTTCTCCTATCTGATTATAAAGGGAAGTGTGGCAGACTGTGGGAAGTAGCTGCAGAGGGCACCATAGGTGGCAGTCTTCAGGTCTACAGAATATACTTTCATATGAACCCTGTGAAGCCTGGTGCAAATAGAATTCATTTGCAGTTACAGCAGGGATGGGCACAATTTGGCATTCCATATATTTTTGCACCAGCATTGGTTGCCATCCTTTGTGCTTGTTAGGGCTGACAGGAGTTGTAGTTTAAAAGCCATTTAGGAGGTAATGCTTTGCCTTCAAGTTACAGAATTCTGAGTCATAAAATTCGTTCCCTGTACCAAAACTGAACAGAACTCCTAACCTTTGTGCAGAGAAATTCACTCCTGAAATTCACTTCAATTTAACTGTACAACTTTGGGTGGGATGTGTGTGGCAGAAATTTTGTTGCTGCTGTTGGGATTCAGAACTCTTTGCTGGCCTGTTTCAAAATAGAACAGGGATCTATAATCTGTCCACCCCTGCAAAAGATAATGGAGCACAATTTGCTTGCTAAAATATATTATTGTAATAATTAGGAAGAATGTGCCTTGTCAACCAAGACAAGGTCCTGTAGAACTTAGCACCATCACATTGGCTGTTAAAGCCAACATTTCTTTTTTTCTTAGGCTAATAGTGTCTTGTAAGATCCTAAGCTGAAATTTGACTTGGGTCCCATTATTGGGAGCAATGTGAGATATAAAATGAATGAATGGATTAAATCATATGGTAGTAGTACATTCTCTTCTTGAAAATTACAGTAAAGCCTTTGCTTGTGTGGGTCATGAAAAGCTACGGATTGTTCTGAAAGAAATGGGTCTGCTATAACTTGATTTTCCTGATGTGTAACTTTAACTAAGCTATGGATTGTTCTAAAAGAAATGGGTCTGCTACAACTTTTGATTTTCCTGATGTGTAACTTTAACCCTGGATGAGGGGCCACAATGATGGTATAATATGGAGAAACAAAATGGTTTCCAATTTGGGTGAAGGTGTCAAGTGTGTTTTATCTCCCTGTCCATTCAATCTGTATGCAGAATGTATCATGCAAAAAGCTGGGTTAAAATCAAACAGGAGGAGGAGTGATAATTGGTGGAGTTAACATAGTAGTTTAAGATATGCCAGCAGAACATAGTATGAACTTGAAACAAGAGCTAATGACAGCAAGGGGAAAGAAAAAAGTAGTTTAAATTTTGCTTGAACATTAAGAAGTCAGAAAGCCTGACTACAGAAGAATGAATAATAGTAATTACATAACATCAAGACTTACAGGGAATTTTTCTAAGATTTCCTAGATATACAACACTCAGAAGCAGTTTACTATCCCCTTCTTCAAGTGTGCTTTGGGACTGCGCAGCTTGCCCAAGGCTACACAGACCAGTTTTTCTTCTGAGAAGCACAAAGAGGAATCAAATTCCCAATCTCTGGCTTTATAGCCAGGTACATGATTACTTAATGTGAATGCTAATGATGTAAAAATTGAAATTGTTAGAAGTTTTTCAATACTTTGGTTCAATCATCACTGGAAAGCCGAGAAACTGACACTTGGAAAAGTAGCTATGAAGCAACTAGGGAAGATGTGCAAGGATGTGTCTTTGGAGAATGAGACTAAGAAAATCCGTATTGTGCTATTCCTGATTATAATGCACAGATGTGAAAGCTGGAAAATGAAAAAAAAAACCTGACACAAATTAAATGAATTAATTTGAAATGTGTTGGAGGAGATCTTTACAGATTCCAGAGCCAGAAGGACAGATGGGTGGGTCTCTGGATCAAATCAGGCCCAAGCTTTCACTGGAAGTTGCAAGGGGTGGGGAAGACTGGATTGAGGTTTGTTGTGCTTTGAGTGTGTCATGAGAGGACAGAACTCACAGGAAGAAATGGTAGTACTAGAAACAGTCAAAGGTGCTGTTGGGGATGAGAACTTCTTAACACGAGATGGGTTAAGTCAGAGAAGGAATCCATAGCTTTTGGTATGCAGGACTAGAACAGGGCAGTTGGTGATGGGACCTTTCGAAAATAATGAGTAAAAATCCTACTGAGCATAGCCCACCTGTGCTCTAAGAATAATGTCATTGTCAGTGGCAGACTGACACTGATTAAAAATTTCCTTTTAAAATTCTGAACACAACTTCATATCATTGTTTGCAAGCTGAGTGCACCACAATATTGAAGAAGAAAAGCTTTAATCAGCAGCCGTCTGCCACTGATCAGGACATCACTCCTGTGGCAAAGACAGACCTACAATGCTGTCAAAAGGTTCGTAAGTAGTTTTTTTTGCGGTTCACCGAGGTACGTAGGAATGCCAGGAGTCTGAACATCTAAAACAGAACAGTTTTTATTAACTTGCAACATTGGGGTATCTATCACAACTTGGGTAGGCTCTAACATGTCCCAATAATACAACTTGCGTTCAACTTGCCCATATGGGTTAACCGCGTACTCTTGCCTCAGAATCAGGGAGCCAGACCAAAACGCTCCTTGTCGGTAGGTTTCTGGAGGGGGGTACTTCTCACTGCGCATAGTGTCCCGCAACAAGGGTGGCGTGCCCAATCTCTCTCTGCCGGAGGCTTGCTGAAAGTCGCATCCGGGTGTACCACCTTCCTCCAAAGACCCTGACCTCGCGGGCACAAGGGTGGTGTGCCCAATCTCCCTCTGCGGAGACTTGCTGAAAGTCACATCCGGGGGTACCACCTTTCTCCAAGGACCCTGACCTCGCGGGTAGACCACCACTGGCCATTCTGTGGTCTCTTGGACTACAACGCCTCCTTGCTTCAGTTCAGGGTCTGGTAATAGTCCTCTGACCTTTAAGTTCGGAGTCCTCCAGTAAACTTTTTACTTCTTTCACCTTGATCTTTTCCCTCTTCTCCTTCTTCACTTCCATTATTACTTGAAAGTCCAGTGCATTGTCACCTCCCTTTATATCTTCCTCCCATACATCCACCCATTGCTCCTCCCTCTTACTTTTTCCCTCCTCGTCAGGCAGACCTCTGTTTTAACCCTCTCTTGTTTGGCAGCTCTCTCCAAATTGTCCCCCTTTTCTCCCTCCTCTTTGATGTTCTCTTTCACTGGAGGAGATGGTGCACTAGCTGCCTCTTGACCTTCACAAATGCATAACAGAGCTGTGCAAGAGGATTTGGCCACTAATTCTACGAGGCAACATAGATCAGAAGCAACTTGATGACTCATGACAGCAACAAAATTCTCCCTGTCTGTGGAGTGTATCCTGGAGTGTTAATGGAATGCTTGCAAAATATGTTTTAAAGAACACTTAAAGTGAAAAAGGTTTGGGTGAGGAATTTCTTATGGCTCCAGGAACTGGATGAACTGTATGGACCTGGAAAATATAGTATTTCTTATAAACAGAAAAATGAGATTCAGGAAGAGAGGCAGTTGCTGTGCATGCAATATTGATCCTGTAGAATGTAACCAGTGTGGCATAGCGGATAGAGTAACAGACTAGAAGTTATGAGGCCTGGGTTCAAATCCTCACTTGGCCATGAATCTCACTGGGAGTATGGAACTGGTAAACCACTAATTAAATATCTCACTTACCTTGAAAACCCTGTTAGGGTTGCTATAAGTTGATTCTGACTCAACAGCATGCAGAGTAGCAAAGAACCCACAATAAATCACACACCACCTTGTTGAGTGTTAACTTATGAAGCTGTTAGAAGCCAGTTACCAGTTTGAGTAACATCATCACTAGATTGCTGCACATTTATAAACAAGATGAACTCTTAAGTTATCAAAAACTTTTCATCAGGCAAAAATGATATAGAACATGGTGATAAGGGAAGGAGTAACAAGTAAAAAAAGGGGGGGGGGCAAAATTCTGACTGTTTGCATCCTTCTTATCCCCAGATATTAATAATGTTTGGCTGGTGAACCATTTTTGAGGAATGAAAAAGCACTTGATTTGTCACTTTCTAGTGATCCATTTAAAGTATGACTTAACGCAGAACTCGGTTTCCAGGGATGGACAGCCTGGCTACTCTTCCCACCCTTTCTTTCTTTCTTCCTTTTTTGTTTAGCCATTGTTAACTGGCAAAGTTTTTAATCAATATACAGATAACAACAACCATTTGCCAGGAAGGAAAAATGGGTAATTAGTGAACTAGGTAGGTTTATGTGACAAGGTGATAGCTTGAGCAAAGACAATTGCTCTGGATAGCTGTCATTGAGCCAAGTTAGATGTGAGGCAAAACTGAGAACCAAAAACCTTGGGTAGTTTGTATCATGGAAAGAGATCTTGTATCGGGATGACTAGAGTTACTTCATTAATACAGTCATCGATCCCTATCTTTGCACAGTCCTGCAAACAAATTAAATCTGGAGTTACCAAAACTCGTTTGAGATAAGGAAACAAGGGAGTCAAACCAATTGTTCTCATATTCAGTAGTGAAGTACTGACCATTTATTTATTTATGAAGCTTGCAAAAGTTAATTTTCTGGTGATTAATAATTGCCCATGGTCTAGGGCCAGGGCAACCAGAAATCACCCTGCTGACATGCCAGGGCTTTTTGAGTAGCAGGGAATATGATAGCAGGAGCTGCTCCTTTGAGGCTTCTCTGTTTCCTCAGAACTTAGCAAATGTTGTCAGGGTATTTTGGAGAAAAATGGACTTTTCCAGGATCAGGGTTTTAGTGCAAGCCATCCCTGTTGTCATGCTAAATATCTGACAAATTGTCTTTAGACAGGCAACAAAGAGCCTTTAGGTTTATGAAAACCTGCTCAGTTGTTGTTGGTGGACTAATCCAGTGGCTTGCATTTCTGGACTCTCTTTGGTGAGATGAGGCTAATCACTTAGACTTTCATAATGAACACCTACACTTTCAAATATATCAGGACACCACTCTGTGCTACAAAGCCAATTACAACTCATGGTGGCCCTTGCCAGGGTTTTCTAGGTAGGTAGGAAGGAAGGAAGGAAGCTGTTTGGAAGGAAGGAAGGAAGGAGGGAAGGAAGTCGTTTCTATCTTGTTGTTGTTTAGTCGTTAAATCGTGTCCCACTCTCCATGACCCCATGGACCAGAGCACACCAGGCCCTCCTGTCTTCCACTGCCTCCCAGAGTTGGGTCAAAATCATGTTGGTAGCTTCGATGACACTGTCCAACCATCTCATCCGCTGTAGTCCCCTTATCCTCTTGCCCTCACACTCTTCCAACATCAGGGACTTTACCAGGGAGTCTTCTTTTCTCATGAGATGGCCAAAGTACTGGGGGCTCAGCTATAGGATCTGTCCTTCCAGTGAGCACTCAGGGTTGATTTTCTTTAGAATTGATAGGTTTGTTCTTCTTGCAGTCCAGGGGACTCTCAAGAGTCTCCTCCAACACCACAATTCAAAGCATCATTTCTTCAGCAGTCAGCCTTCTTTTAGTCCAGCTCTCATTTCCATACATCACTACTGGAAAAAACATATGTGATTGGGTGTGTTAGAAATTTGAAGCAGGACGGTATAGCCCATTTTGCTGCCAATGCTTCTTTTTCTATAGTAGCATACCTTTGTTCTCGTGATGAGAGCTTCTCCATATCTGGCTGCAGAGAACATAATCAATCTGATTTCAGTATTGCCCATCTTGTGATGTCCATGCATAGAGTCACCTCTTGTGTTGTTGGAAAAGAGTGTTTGTGATTACCAGTTTGTTCTCTTGACAAAACTCTATTAGCTTTTGCCTTGCTTCATTTTGGACTCCAAGGCCAAACTTACCTGCTGTTCCTTTTATCTCTTGACTCCCTACTTTAGCATTCCAGTCCCCTATAATGAGAAGAACATCTTTCTTTGGTGTCAGTTCTGGAAGGTGTTGTAAGTCTTCATAGAATTGGTCAGTTTCAGTCTCCTCAGCATTGGTGGCTGGTGCATAAACGTGGATTACTGTGATGTTGAAAGGTCTGCCTTGTATCTATATATGATGCTATTTTCTTGCATTATGCATCACATAGAAAACAAGTTTTTCAGAGAAGAGACAGAGGACAAAACATTAAATAAAATGCACATTAGTAGCACCCTATTAAGTCCAGAGCTGAAAGGTAAGTTGAGCAAGAAGGAAAGTGGTGGGTCTGGCTCAGCTCAGATGATAAAATCAACCAGCGACCACAAGTCTCCTCCCTTCTCCCCTGTTGTGTCAACTTCTGCTTGCAAATGAAGAAAAGGAACTCATTTAAAAGGAGAGTTCCTGTGTTTTGGCAGCAGCTGAAATCTTCTTAGGTGCTGTGAATGGTGAGTGCTTTTAACGATTTGGCTAGTTTTTAATTTAGGTTTGTGGCTTCTACCCAGGTTGTCTTCTGGACGGTGACATCTTGAGCAGGCATCTTAACCAGTAAGAGAGAAGCCATAAGCACACAGCTTGACTGAAAGTCTTTTATTTATTTTGGACTTAGACTTTATTTTAGTTGTGGAAATACTGAGTGGTAGGTTTCCCAACTTTGGCATGCCACAGGTTATTGGTCTACAACTTCCAGATGCTTGACCATTGCAGGTGGTAGTTAGGACTGCTGGGAATTATAATCTAAGGATACTTGAGGCCCTGCCTTTGGGAACCTGTTGACTAAATTGCTCCTCAATAGCCATATAGTAACAGCATTTGATGATTTTCTGTTTTCTCTTTTGTTACATCACCATTCCAGATTTTTTAAAAAAATTACATAGAGAATATCTGCTTCCTAGGCAGCTGTTAGAAGACTGGACTAGAGTTAGCATGGTGCAGTAATGGCTGCAGTAATGATGTGTGTGCACCCATTGAAACTATTCTCGTATCATAGATGCTAGGGGAATGGCATGAATGCTTAGGACAAAGACCACCTCCAGTTGCTTTTCCCTCCACATAAAGAAACACAAAACAAGCAGATTTAGACCCAGGCATCCTTCTCACATCCCTGTTCTTTTCCTACAACCACCAATAAGATAGTGAAGCTCCAGGAACCAAAATTGCCAGTTGTGGCTGTGCACTGAGCTGAATCCGACATGGTGATACTCAGCAAACAAGAGTAGCAGTGTGAGCCCTGGCATTTTGTGTATGTGTGTTCTTTTAAAATCTACAAATAAGAATCAAAGATAAAAGCATACAGCAGAGGAGATCTGCTATGTCAACAATAGATCTAAAAAGAATATAGGTATTCTAGTTAGTCACAAATAGAAGATGACCCAGCAACCTAATGTGGCTTCTAAAAAAGGGAATGCAATCTTAGGCTGCATTAGTACAAGCATGATGCACAGATAATGAGAACTAATAATTCCACCCTCTGCTACACGGGTCAGGCTGCATCTGGAGTACTTAGTTCTTCTGTGCTATAATTTAAAGAGGAACATTGGCAAATGGGTATGTTCAGACGAGGGTGACCTGGACATTGTCTGAGGAGTTGAAACTGCTAGGTATACAGTATTTGGTTGTAGAAGAGAGGATTAAGGAGAGATGTAACGGTTGTCTAAAATGTGTATTTCTTGCTGTTACAATGTTTTCCTTCCCAGCCCAACATTTCTTCAAAGTAGTACTGTACAATCAGGCTTGTAAATGTTTATCTCCTGATGATCCACTGAAAACTAAAAGCAAGCAAATCTGCAAAATGCAGAGGGGGGCAAACTTGCTCTGTCACTTCATGAAGCTCTGCTTCTAATGATATCCTAACTGTACCATTTCAATTGAACTTCCCCCCCCCCCTTGCTGCAGTGGGCAAGACTGGAGTCATGGGGTGAAAATCGCAGGGAAGCAGATTTTGGCTAAACATTAGGAAAAACCTAACAGCAAGAGCTGTTAAAGAGTGGAGTAGACTGCCTTGGGAGAGGTTCGGCTCTCCTTTGTTGGATGAATGCAGCCACAGGCTAGTTTGAGCCATCTGTCAGAATGCTTGAGCGACAACCCTGCATTGTAGATCCTGCACTGAGCTGGAGGGTGTGTTAGAAGATCACCTTCGAGCCTTGTTCCAACTTTGTAAGTGTATGATTCGATATGGATGCATCAAAGATTAACACCCTACTTGGAAAAGATTTTGGGTATGCTCTTGGATTATACTATCATTAACAGACACACAGTTCTCCAATAAAGGTTTCTATTTCACGTAAAAATTCTACAAACTCAAAGAGATATCCTACAGCTGGGACAGAGAAATTGTGTGACTCCAGGGCTACAACTAGGCTGGAGCAGCTGAGGCTTTGCCTCAGGGCACCAATATTTAGAGGTGTATGTTAGGGAAATTTAAAAGACAATGCTTCACAATCCTATCAACATTTTAAAAGAAGACATAAATGTTGTTTTTGAGGAACCCACATGTTCTGCCTCCACTTTAGGAGTTGGCTGATGCCTCAGAGTGGAGTGGGTGGGAGACAATGCCACATGCCCTGGGTACAAAAAATGGCTAGTTACAGCTCTCTGTGATACTTATGGAAACTATTCCAAGCTTTAAAAAGTTTTGAGATCCCCTCCAGTTGCTACTGGATCAAGCAGAGCTTGGAAAAGTTACCCTTTTAAGATAATATCCCCAAATAATCCTCCAGACATTCACCCCACCAAAACAAAAAACCAAAAAAACAAAAACAAACCCCAACTTTCCAAGGTCTGGATGCATGATAGAGACATTCACCCCACCAAAACAAAAAACCACCCCCCCCCAACTTCCCAGGGTCTGGATGCAAGATAACTCTGAGAAGAATGGTTACATAACCAAATATAATTAATATATGCTGTCCCTCCTTTGTCTAATCATCATCATCGTAGAGCTGCAAAGCTCAGATCAAGTCCAGCCCTTTGTCAAGGAGGCACAGTGGGGAACCAAAATCCCAGATACCTAAACCACTGAGCTATCCAGCAGTTTTGTCATCCCTCTCTCTCTTCCCCCACCCCTCTCAAGAAGAATAATGGTCCTTCCTTTCCCCTTTCAAAGTATGGAGCAAACTTCTGCAAGGGCCAGTGAATACGACTAGAATGGCTACTAGAGGCAGAAAGTTTGGGTCAAGTCGCTGGAAGCAAGCAAGAAGTGAACAGGGAAATGTGCAAACCTATCCCATCTCAGAGGAAGAGTTATCCCAGTCTGAAATCATGGAACAGATTCAAGACGTCTTCCAGAAGCATGATGGAAACAAGAAGGGTTTTGTTACACAAGCCGATATGCAGGTAGATCGGTGGGCTGTAAGTTATTGAATTTTCTGGGCCACATGCTACATTTAAAGTGAATAAGGAAACAGAGGGCAGAATGGCTAAATGGCTGATGAGCCAGGAGGTTGTTAATATGCCTGCCATCTATACTGGATCATGATCTCATCACCTATATGGTGATCTATATGGGATCACCATATGACTGCTTGGCATAGGGTGGTTCCTTCCCACTTTTTGGTGCCATTTAAAAGGCTATGGCTATAGGTCAGCCTTCCCCAGTCAAGTGCGTTTTAAAATGTATTGGGTTACAGCTTACATAATTCTCATGTGCCCCGTGGGGCAGTGGTTAAACTGCACTACTGCAGTGAAGACTTTGCTCATAACCTGAGTTTGATCCTGGGTTCGGGTAGCTGGCTCGAGGTTGACTCAACTTCCCATCCTTCTGAGGCTGGTAAATTGAATACCTGGCTCACTGGGAGGGGGCAATCTGTAGCCTGCATAGTTATTTTGTAAACCACCCAGGGAGTGCTTTAAGCACCAGGAGGTGGCATATAAGCAGCACACTTTGCTTTGCTTTGCTTCATTGTTAGCTGATGGAGAGCTGTAGTTTAGCAAATATATAAGACAGTGAGCTGGGAGAACCTGTCTCAAGTATGGTAGAATTGTTACACCTCTTTTCCATTTAAGGTTGGTTGGTTGGTCGGTCGGCCGGCCGGCCAGCCACCATTCCAATACGGATTAATTCCTTAAGTAGAGGGTCCACTGTATCTTATCCTTCCAATGGAAAGGTATTTCTCAGAGTAGCTGACCACTGTTAAATACCAGAATCACATAACAAAAGAGAGTGAGAACACGAATATGTTTTTAAAAAATTAAAAGAAAGATGGGAGGGCCACCAGATTATTACCAGACACAGGATACACTGCATCAGATATCATCTACCTAGCAAAACAAACTGTAGCCAGGACCTGAGAATTTTCACTAGTTGAAAAGTAAAGGGCTTACTAGCTGTGTGACAAGAGGCAAGTCTCAGGCCTAAATTCAAATTTGTTTCTGTATTATTTTCAGAAACTGGAAGGAATTGCACCTTGGAGCAGAGGAGAGCTGGAGCTGGTCTTTGCTGGCCTTGATGCTGACAATGAGGGCTGCTTAGCCATTGAAGACTTCACAGCGGGACTTAGTAGGCATTGGTTCAGTGCAGGACAAGGCAATTTTTCAATGCTTTGGACTAAAATCCCCACAAACCCCTCATCATCTGCTAGGGCTGATGGGAACAGTTGTCCAAAACATCTGTGGGGCACCAGATTGCTCACCCATGGTTTACTGTATTATACTGATGGGCTTGGGATGCTATGCATGCCTACATGAGAGCATACTCCATATAATTCCGTTAAGCTTAACTTGGAGTAAACATGCATACACTCCACCTGCTGAGGTAGGGCTTCCAGATCAGTCTTTGTTTGTTCAATCATTCTGCCTCATTTGCAGAACTTTATGGGAAGTACAAATGATCTCTGGATGCAAAAATGTTGACGCTAAAGCTGCCCTACTTTGGGCACATCGTGAGAAGTTGGATTCTCAGGAAAAGACAATAATGCTGGGAAAGGTGGAAGGCAGCAGGAAAAGAGGAAGATCAAATATAAGATGTATTGACTCCCTAAAAGACCCACAGGCTTGAGTTTAGCTGCCCAAAGTAGTAGCTTAGCTACTAGTTGGGCAGGTTAGAAATGTAAATAAAATAAAACAGCTTACAAGAGCTGAGCAGGGCAGTTGAGGACAGTAGTCGGCCATTTTGGAGATTGATCATTCATAAGGTTGCCATAAGTCAGTGGTGACTTGATGTCACATCACCACCACCAAGTTTGTCACCTTTAATTTAATCTTCCCTTGTTTCCTGTTCATTTCTCCTCCCCTTTCTTCCAAAAAGAACACCTCATCAAATCAGAATTTAGAATGTTACTTTTTAAAAGGAACTTGCTACATTACTAGGACTGGGAAGCAGCCAAATGATCATGATTGTGACCCCTTGTGGGAAGTAGCCTGCAGGGCACACAGACCTGTTGTGTTGCCTTAACCAGCATGCCGGGAAAATTGAGGGATGTGCTCTCCTGTTCCCCGACCTGTTGTCCAATTCTGATATTTCATCTTGAAAATAAAGAGATACAAAAGATGAAGCAAAATAATACTTCTTTTGCTATTTAGTACTGATAAGAAAATGGCATAAAGCTTTTAAATTTTTTTAAAAAATCTAGACAAAATGCCTCCAAACATACTTTGATGTTTACTTAATGTCTATCCACCAAATGTTTTCAACACTTAAGGAATTCCCTCTTCTAAGAATAGCCACCTTATGTGTAACAGATGAAACAAAATTATGCCATAACTTTCACGAAACACACACGCTTTGTATTGCATTGTCAGTTTGGCTAGATTATTTCTAGGGATGGGAAACAGGTGTTCCTCCATTTGTTGTTGATATGCTGGCTAGGGTGGATGCATGTTTCAGCAACAAGAAGCTCCATTTTAAATACAATACTAAGAAAACGGTAGCTTGCACAGAACAAATGTAAAGGAGTTTATCAAAACAGGTGAAAAAAGATGGGACAGAAAAGTCCTAAGGGCACAAGGCCTTTGCTATCTTGAGTTGTTGTCTCCAGGTAAAATGGGAACTGCTCAGTTAGCGGGAGAAAACCAGATATTTGTAGGTTGCTCTTAGAAGTTGGATCTTCTAGACAGTGCGGTGGAACTGAGTTGGGGAAGTTCTTCTAGGAAGGAAATACTGGACTTTGGGGAAATGACCATTCATACGGATTCTGATTGTTTGGATCAAGCCTGAGGATCAGCAGATTTCCTGTGTAGTTTGTAAGTGCTAAGTACAGAGTTAGCCCTATCATTAGGCAGAGTTTGGAAACTGCCTCAAACAACAGATTTTGGTTGTATCATGGAAGGGAAGAATTCATGGGAGAGGTTGTATATAGGAGTTAAGCAGAGAATTTTCCATGTGGCAGATTTCAGAGTCAATCTTTGCCACCTCTAGGTAGATTAAAGGGAGTGGGCGAGGGAGAGAATCCTGCTGGAAACTCAGGATTTGTTCTGCTGGTTTTGTTGATAGTTATTTGTTTTAGTTATTTAATTGGTTATTTGTTTTAGTTATTTAATTGGTAATTAATGTATTTTTTGCTGCTGGAAAAGGATGAGGTGCTTGTAAAATGTTCTGTCTTGGTTGCCAAGTAACAGACTTTGCCTAGCTGCTATGAGCCTTGGCTTTGGTGGGGTGGGGATGCCATGAATTGCTCTACTTTAAATAGAAGTGTGTGTGGGGGGGAGCCAGTCTTGGGTTCATCCCAGCTAGATGCCTTGGCTCAGCATATCTTTCACCTTTAAAAAGTTGTCCCTCGGGTGACCAAATCTTGGCTTTAATGTTTCCGCCTGGCCAGAATGTGATCTTGGTTGTCTATGTGGCAGGGAATTTCCTGAACTCACAAAGTGTGACAAGACAGCATCGGAAAAGGAAGATGGCTTCAGCAAAGACTCTTGTTAACTTGACTCCCGAAGAAGCTAATCCTGAGAGGAAAAAGTGCTCTGAGGCTTTCATAAACCAACTGGGAACTGACGGGATCTTCAAAGAGTAAGGCCATGCTAACCTTATTTCTATTTGATGCCCACAGACTCTTACAGATGTAGGCAGAGCCAGAATGGGAATAAGAGTAATATAGATTAGTATAAGGGCCTTGAAGGCAGAAGGAAGTAGCCTGTAAGGAGGAAGAGTTTTCTTATGTACCATACTAGCATATTCCATAATAGAGATGAGGAGTTTAGGGTTGTGGGTATGTCTTTTGTGTTTGAGACTAGGAAGTGAGATGTACCAATCATAGCAAGGTGGAAAACAATGGCTTTGGCAACCATTTTGACATATTAAGAATTAAGGAACAGGTTGACACATGTTCTGCTCTGGAGTTTGCGATCACACACAAGTTCACAAGTCACCTCACAACATCCATGTGATCAGCACTTGGACTGCTACCACTGCCATTCTCATTTTGAAGGCCCATCACCAATGTAATTGTTGGCACCCTCTTTCACCTATCTCATTTGATTCCCAGCCCTCTATCACCTCCTTTGTGTATGTAAAGTAAAGGTAAAGGTTCCCTTGACATTTAGTCCAGTTGTGTCTTGGGGGTGGTGCTCATCCCCATTTCCAAGCCATAGAGCCAGCGTTTGTCCGAAGACAGTTTCCATGATCATGTGGCCAGCGTGACTAGACACGGAACGCCATTACCTTCCCACCGAGGTTGTATCTATTTATCTCCTCACATTTGCATGCCTTCGAACCGCTAGGTTAGCAGGAGTTGGGACAAGCAATGGGAGCTCACTCCGTCGTGTGGATTCGATCTTACAACTGCTGGTCTTCAGACCCTGCAGCACAGAAGCTTCTGCGGTTTAACCCGCAGCACCACCACGTCCCATATGTGTATGTAAAATTCTGGTTAAATGTTGCACTGAGGAAGTCCTTTGTTGTCCACAAAAGCTGAGGCTGACATAAAGCAGTTAGCCTTCATGGTGCCACAACTCTTTATCTTCTATTATTGTTCTACATGATTTGGAGTTTCATGTGTTTTCATTGTTGCTATTGTAAGACAACTGGAACGAGATCTACCACAGAACATCTGAGATCTGTCACCAGTCCTATCCATCTTCCTTTTACCTTTCCTTAGTTCAGAGAAAGGAGATCTGGCCTACTGTTTAAATGACCTCAATGTTCCTGCATCAACCCACCAAGCGTGACACTTCCCAGGCTATAGGAAAGCAGGAGAGAGGAATCCTCAATGTTATCTCCAATAATTTGTCAGAATTAACAGCAGAGATTCTCCTATGCCTTGCTCTCCTCCTAATGGGAGCTGCTGCAGACACACTAGGTGTGTGACCACACTCCCAGCATCATATGACCCACAAGGCATGAAGGAGGGGAGGAATCCAGCCCTCCCTACTCTTATATGACCTCTCACACTTGGCATAATTGAGGAGTTATCCATCCTTGACTCTTTTCCACTGTTCTACAGTGGTGCCTCGACTTACAAACGTCCCGACTTACAACCATTTCGAGTTGCAACCAGCTCCGGCCACAACATTTTGCTTAGACGTGCGGCCGGAGCTTCGACTTGCGACTGGAAAAAGGCAAGGAAAAATGTATTCTTGAAGGCTTTTATGGCCAAGATCTGATGGTTGTTGTGGGTTTTCCGGGCTCTTTGGCCATGTTCTGAAGGTTGTTGTTCCTGACGTTTTGCCAGTCGCTGTGGCCGGCATCTTCAGAGGACTGGAGTAGGAACTCTGTCCATGCTCTGTTACTGTTTGTTGGATAGTCGAGTATTTATAGCTGCAGGAACAGGGTGATCAGTGTGTTTCTCCTGAAAAGGACAAAAGCTGTTCCTGCCAAAGAGCCCAAAAAACCCACAACAACCAGCAAGGGGAAAAGGCGGGGAATTCAAATTTGCTAATCGTTGGGAGGCGAAGAGGCTGCTTCTTTGCAGTTCTTTCACCCCAACGGTTAGAGTGAGTGCATTGGAGGAGGCTTTGGGACTGCCTGGAGCTGCTTTCTGCTCCTGAGTAAGTACATGTACTGTACTTTGTTTTGCACGGTGGGTTTGGATTGGGGGGTATGTTTCTGTGCTGTGATGTTTTTCCCCCAGTCCCATCGTGTTCGGGCTGGCTGTGTGTGTGTGTCTCTCGGGGTGTTTTTGTGTTTTTTTTCCCCAGACCCATATCATTCCACTGGGACTGTGTGCGTGCGTGCGTGCGTGTGCGTTTTTTGAGTGGTTTTTTCCCAGCCCCATAGGGTTCCACTGGGGCTGGCTCTTTTTTTGGGGGGGGGTGTTTGTTTTTTGGCCCCAGCACATTCCTATGGGGCTTGCAGTGTTTTATTTATTTATTTATTTATTTATTTTGGTGTTTTTCCCCCAGCCAGAACGAATTAATGGGGTTTCAATGTATTCCTATGGGAAATGGTGCTTCGACATTTCAAGTTACGCCCATCTTCTGGAATGGATTATGGTCATACGTTGAGGCACCGCAGTACTAGAATATATTCTAAAACCATGTCCTCAATGAGAGGCCAGTATGACTGCCCAGTCAAAGCAATTTCTTCTGAGTTAAATATTTATGTGGCGAAATAACATACAATATTTCTCTATTTTACAGCCACTCAAAAATCCAGAAAATTTGGGTATAGCTCAGGAAGGAAAGAGATCTGCTAGGTAACCTGAAGGAGTTCTTGGCTGAAATGACACATCTGATCAAAAAAGCTAAGCATGAAAAAGAGATATTGGAGTTAATGCTGGAAATGTAGGTCCATGGATACAGGTATAAGAGAAGTGCTTTATTCTGGAAAAGAAAGGAGGCTCTAGAAAATGAAAATACTGTATGAGGATGAGGAAATTAAGTGATTGTAGAGTGAATTGATTGGTGAGGAATAGCTCAGTAGCAGGGAACACAGTTTATGTCCCAAAGATCTCAGGTTCAGTCCCAGGTATCTCCAGCTAAAGAATCATAATTTCAGTTAATAATACTAGAAGACCTATCCCTATTAAATATGGCTTAAGACTCTGACACAGAAAAGAAGGTTGGTATCAACAAATGGAAGCCCCAGAGCCAAGTCAAAGGAGTGCTCATGGGCCCTTCTTATTGGCAACCATGAAATATGATAATTGTGCACAGGCAATGGTAACTGCAGTTAAATCCAACCTGGACTATTGTTCAGAGTAATCCTCCCATCAAATTAGTTGCCCAGAAGGTTGGAAGCTGATTTATTATGATGGAGGTGCACTACCAGCAATACAGTTATCTGTGAGCTAACAGATCTGGTCTAGACAAATCTGCTTTAAATGTCTTGTTTGGTTCTCCACACTAGGCAAGTTGCTGAACATAACAGGAAGGTGCAGCAGCTCTATGAGGAGATGGAGCAGCAAACAGGGAGAGAAAAACAAAGGCTACAGTATGAGGTAGGTTCATGGCTGGGCCCACACTTAATTCCACTTATTCATGAGAAGAGTGGGTATGCTGGATTTTCTTTTCAAATACTGTAGCCTACAATTTCCCCTAAGCTCAGGGTAGATTACACATCACTTAAATGCCCACAATTTCTCATTACGGTGATATTATACTCAATAACCATTCCATAGGGAAATGTCTCATCTGTCTCATCATCTCTTACAAGGTAGAGAAAAAGAAAAAGGAGAAAGGGGATTATGATATAAAACATTGAGAAAGGAACAATGTTTTTTCTCATAGCTTGGAAGTAATGAGTTACAAATAATCTAGTTATCCATTATATGCTTATTTGTACTTCATTACTTTTTGGTAAGGAAACAATATTTATCTCTGCACTTGGGAGTAATGAGTTACATATATTTTTCTTACCTGTTATAAGTAGGTGTAAACAAGTGTAATTAAGTTACATTCTAAAAGGACGGTACTGAGCAGTAACAAAGTTACTTTACTAGTTTAGTGAGTGGTATTTTCTAGTTGCTTCAGAGGTTATTTTGAAGGGCATAAATGGCATTATTTACTTGGACACAACATTTTCAAGTTTTATGCCATTCTCTTATTAGTCCTAAGGTGTTACCCCACACAGTCATAGAAACATTACAAGCAAAATAATGAGCAATGCAAAAAGTTATCTGTCAGTATTACGAAGTAATGCCAATAGGTTGCCTTCCAAACACTGTAGTTATTAATGGGATACCCAGTGTAGCATAGTGGAGAGAATGGTGGATTAGGAAACCTCTGTTTGAGTCCCTACTTAGCCACAGAAACACACTGGGAATATTTGTGTGTGGATCTGATAAAACCACTCTTCAAATATCTCATTTATCTTTAAAGCCCTGTTAGGGTTGCTATAAGTCAGTTCTGATTTGATTACACATAAGACACACAGTAAATAATGTGTTACTTAGCATAGAGTAGGCTCATTTGAATCAGTGGAATTTATGGAGGAGGTAACTTGTCAAATCCCTACTGATGCAATCCAGTGTGCCGTACTATGCTAAGCAACAGGATTTCTGCCACACCTTTTAGAAAGTAATGTTCCAAGTGCCATTTTTTCCTCATAGGAAAGTCGTCTGAGAGTTCCCGAGTGAGCAGGGATAATTATTCCAAGGGCTGGGCTTCTCTCTCTCTCTCTCTCTCTCAGTCTCTCTTTTTTTTTGGAGGCCCATTAATGAGCTTGAAAACTTCCTTTGGCTTCTTCAGAAAAAAGCCAGGAGCAGTTTTTGTTCTCAGGTTATACCCCAGGGAGAGGGATTAAAACTGATGGCATTGTATAGGGGTGAGTGAAGATTACATGCCTATGTGTGGAGCCTGGCAAGGAAATGTGGAGTGGAGAATGCTGGAAAAGGGCATACCTGCAGTCCCTGGTGCAACAATTTGATTTAAATGCCAGTGAGCCATTGTATGGAAAGTCCCCTAGTAATTGCCATTTTGGCAGGAAATGTGAATCTATAGTTTTACCGTATTTCCTATTGCAGAGTAAAACCAGAAGCCAGTTGTGCAACATGGAAATGAAGAAAGTGTTAGATGTCAGGGAACAGGAAATACAGCACTTCCTCACTGTTCAGAATGAGGTAAGATAATGAGTATGATGATAAGTCAGGGAAGACCTTGTGACCATCCGGCTCCAGCTTTCAAAAGCACCACAAGACACTCTTTGAGGAGAGACCAAAACAAGCTTTTAGACTGTGGTCTTCAGGAGGAAAGGAAGTCTTGCTTTGATGCAAGGAAATAGCACCATCTTCTGGAAGCATTTCTTCTAGTTCAAGCTGCAAGTAGGGTATGTTGTTTTGTAGGCAAAACTCACAATATACACCTCCTTCAAGATATTTGATGGCCAAATACTTCAAAAGGGCAGCCTTTATCCCCCCCACAGAGCTGATGAAATTTTCAGACCACTTCCCAAGCAATAATGTGTGTAGGGGTGTGATCCTTCTCCTGGCTTCCTTGAGAAGTATCTTGGCTTTTGCTCCATTGATGCTAAAGGGTAGTCTGCTCATGGAACTTATTTGGAACATGTTCTAAAACTGGAGAGAAAAATAGTCTTTCTGCTGCTCCTGTCCAAGAACAATGGTCCTATAACTAGGTAAAATGAGACAACTGACTTAGGTGAGAGGTAAGAGTAGCAGACCCTATTCCACTTAAGCCTTCAGGTCCTCTTTGGGACCTCTTTCTCCGTCCGTGTATGTGTGTGTGTGTGTGTGTGTTTGTTATATGGCCTGTGCTGCAACCCCCAAACTAGCCATCTTTCCTCAGAGGTGAAGGAGGACAGACTTCTGTTGTCAATATCAAAGTAAGAGTCACTTGGCAGTCCACTTTGTTTCTATATGAAGAATAGAAATAGGAAGGCACCAACTTGCCTTTTGCCTGAAGCATCAGAATGCTTTGAACCAGCCCTATTTCAGAATGATTTTGTTTTTAAAGGGGAAAAAAACCCACTTAGTTACAAGTCTGCCATTGTTGTGTCAGAGAGGCACAATTATCCCAAGGCTATTTCTGTGATCTCATTAAAATGTACATAATCTCCAAGATCCAGACAGAAAATCCAGACAAAATAGCCTTACAATGCTATATTTTATGCTTTCCAAACCATAACACATTGTTTAAGAAAAGAGACAGCAATGTTACTGAAAGTGGAAGGAGCTTTGACTCTGTTGACCAATTATGTGGTCTACAACATTCATTCTCATGCCATTCAGATACAATGGATTACACCTCTTAAAGATCCCAGTCATAAGGGCCATGAGTGACACCAGCTTGGGAAGTTTCTGTATTCTGTAAATTCTGTGTGATATTATTATTTATTTATTTATTTATTTATTTATTTATTTATTTATTTATTGGACTTATATACCGCCCCATAGCGCTACAAGCACTCTCCGGGCGGTTTACAATTTAATTAGACAGGCTACACATTGATATGGATAGCATTTAGAAGCAGATCCGTTGTCCTACACAAGGAAATCAAAACATGTTTCTGCTTGGCTGAACATTTCTCTCTCTCTCTCTCTTTTCAGCTGGAAACTCACTTTGTCAACCTCAAAGAAAACCAGCAAATGGCCAATACCCAAACTGAGGAACTCATGCGAGACAACCATACGCTTGAGACCCAGCTGCAGGAAACCCTCCACCAGCTTCAAAGGACACAAAGGCAACTGGATGCAATGAAAGATCAAGTTGCTCAGATGCTCAAAGAAGACAGGTGAGTC